TTACCGACTGAATGACGGCATTGCTCTCGGCACCTTTCCACGACCACGGTTACTTTCCTGTGCGTTGGTTCAACTTGTTCAACATATCGCCCAGGGAAAAAGCGAATAGTTACTGAAAGTTTACATAGTGTTTGCATGTGTGCGTGCGTGTGTGTGTGTGTGTGTGCGTTCGTGCGAGCCAATTGCGCACACGATCAGGCAATTTCGGTGAACCGGGGATTGAGATACAAGANCAAGAATTCCATTACATGGTGATCATCGTGTTATTTTTAAAGCCGCTGTAGAAATGTTTATGTACACAAGATTGTTTGGGAAACGCTCTATTTTACACTCTGTAAGTAAGGAGTACCGGTGGATAGTTTTCCCCACATGCACTGTACATATGTAATCGCAGCGTATTATCATCCAGTAGTTTCCCCTATCTGAATACGGTATTTGCAGGGAGCTTGAGTGTGAGTTACGTAAAACAGATTATCCATATCGTATATTCTCTTTCTGTCAATTTCTGTCAATTTCTTTAGCTCGCAATTAGGGGTATGTATCTAATTTTTAAATGATAAATCCTTATCTACGTGAGGGCAGCAATTTAAAAGATTGTAGAAAATCAGATATTTTAAACCAAATTCCTACTAAAGCATACTAAAGCACGCCAGGAGCAATGAAGTACCGTCCGATTGTTATTTTGTGTACCATACAACACGGCTACACTTATCTGCTGTCACATGTCACCTGAATAAGTTACGGTAGACTTGACATTCGAGGTAGTTGTTGAATCGATGTGTGCACATCTAAACTGAATCTTGGCACTAGGAACGACGAAGTCCAGACAACCGGAGACTGAGTAATTAGTGTACGTATACGTAGTCATAAGATTCCTAAGCATGATCAAGCCTGTATCAACGAATTAGGTTACAACAATTGCTATAGAATTATAATTAAACATCGAAAACCAAAATTGCATATTGCCCGGTTGGCATCAAGCAGATAAAGCGAGAGTTTAGGTAAATTATACTTCAATTTATATTTGCACTGTCTTTGAAATACTTATTTTCGAAAGTGTTTTGATTGATCACATTTACGGATCACAGGAATTCATCACAAAACTGAATCATTTTTATATACCCGGACAATTGCCTGTTGAAAGGCTTCCTCATTATTGTTGTCGATAGTTGGCGGTCAACAGAATACTCATCTCATTAACCATTGATAGTGAAAGTCGGCTCATTAGTTCCCGGAATTTCAAAGCTTGTATGATTGTAACAGGACTCAGTTCCAATTATGACCGTAAATTTGTTGAAAACTTTCTGTTTCTTCAAACACCTGAGTAGTCCTACCAAAAATTCACGTTGGGTAGGAGTATTGGGTGGACTCGATTCCATTGAAGTTGTGTCAGGTAGCCATATGATCGATCGACCGTCTAGGGGTAAAATGCGCTGAACACTGAGCATCGGTGGATGAGAAAATCCCAACGAGGGCGTTTCTTTTTGGCATAACTGCACATATTCTTTTCATTTGGATTGTGGTGAACTCTTCATTGTTTCATAAAGTGAATCATCAAAGCAAAAGCCATATAGTGGCTTGACAGGTTTGTCCTACTTGAAGTCTTCTTATCAGTTTTGTGTTCGTGATTGAACCTGGCGTTTTTCTGTACCACTTTATATTTTAGCTTTTCGGGATGCCCTTTGGCCTACCGAAGCCGTCGAAGGCAGGCCAAACGTCCAACATCCGCTTCTGGTAAATCAATTCTGGTTTCTACATGGTTCAACTGAAAATTATATACATTTTTGCGGGTGGCCTGTTGGATTGTAATATCATTTGAACTGTGGAATGTTCCCAGAAGGAGGCCAGAGAAGGATCAGATTGCTAATGAGTCATGTTATGAAGAAATCATCAGTGTTTGTAGTTGCTTTCCAGTATCGAATCTGCTCTAAGCTTTGCGCGTATGGGAAACGTGAATTGCACACTGCCCTGTGATGCATGCGATANTGAAGGAAACATCGTTCAGTAATTCAGGGTATCTGGATGAAATCACTAGAAACTTACTTCACTATCTCCGACTTTACCTTGCAAATACTGCTGAAGTGTATGGTTCCGTAAAATAGGTCGCTTAGATTACCAGTTTCAATTCACTGTCTGTCAAGAATCCAGATCACACTACTTGTGAGTAATGCAAAATAGCAATCAAATATGAATGTGGCAATTCCAAGGATGTTCAGACAAATATCAGCGTGAGCAATATTGCTTCTGTATGGGTCCAACTCNTGAAATCACCAATACTATTTCATCAACGCAGCCTTGCCATCAGCGCACGGAAAATCGGCCGTTCGTTTAGGTGTGCGTGTTATGTTCCCAACCCGTAGGTTCATGGTTCTACTTTCCCATGGGCCGCAAATATAGTTCCTAAAGTTGATGAGTCCCAAGAAGGACGAAACACCTGCTCGATGCTCTTTTTGGCCATAATACAAGGTCTTTCACGAATAATGAGTAGAACATATTTCAAAAATCTTTTCCATTTGCAGCGTCCAATTATTACTGTGTTAGAAAATACGCAAAATGAAAAATGTCATTCATATTGCTATTAATGAGCTTCATATGCTGCTCTCCCTTTCAAAGGACGCAAGGGTCACGAAGAGAACATGAGAAATAACGCAGGGTTTATTTCAATGGACAAACAGGATTCACGGAGCTGCACTAAAAGAGAGTGCAATAACAACTTCATTCACTCTGTCAACCCCGGCTCCAATGATACTAAACAGACCGAAAGAGTTGGAACCAATGCAACTGCAACTACATATTCCGCAGCTTTTGAGCCCCCCACTGAAATGATATCCGGTTTTCCTTTCTTGATCTCCTCAAACTTTCTGCCTAATATGTTTCCACTTGATGTGTCCACCAAAATGCCCGATCCAACACTTATTCGACATTCGGATTTTGGCATGGAACTACTAAAGAATTTGCATCCTACGATCACCAAACGATCGGATATGAACAGAAATAGACTGATCGAAATGGGTCAGAAATTCGGGGCGTTTGGAAACAATCAATATTCCGAAGGGAGTTTCCCTACCAGTGTGAATACAAATAGCATTGTATTGCCAACCAATCCTTTGTTTTCGACAAACGGAAATTCATTCCCAACAGTTCCGTTGCTTTTTGGGGCCGGGTTGAAGCTTCCATTTGATCTGGACTGTAAGTTTGTCCCGTCCCGCATAGTTCGAACTGCACCGAATGACGGCATGGTCACAGAAGCGATCAGTAGCAAGTTACCATCGGTCTTCAACCCTGGTAGCTCAATGAACGAAGCAGGTTCGTTGGCTTCCAGTTTGATGGAACAGGCTTTGCAAGGGAATGCTTGTATCCCTTTTCCACATACGGAATCTGACAGTTCTTCCAGCTTGTTAGAATGCGGTGAATCGATGAATGCGCCGGGTAAGATGAACCGAGGTAATCGCAACTCACTATCGTGGCACGAGTCTGGTCAAAGGCGGTCGGAATCTGCGACTTCATCGCCCAGTGAAATGTGTGGCACGAAATCCACTGAACCCGATATTCCAATGGATCTTTCACTCCGTTCAGGTACACGGGATGACGAGGAAACAGAAGTAACGTCATCTAGTCCTGGAGTCATGTAAGTGTTGCCATTATCAATCGCATACTCATGATTTGCGCCGATTTTTTCGGATAAGTAAAAATATTCACGGAACCCGATAGCTTCATTTGTCTCGTTTCTTAAAAATCAGCTGATGATTTTCAATCTAACACAATCCGAAACAAGTATTTCAAAATTTCTGAAGTATAAACTGACCTTTGAGTGTGGGTTGTTTTTTAAAATTCTCTTTGTGCCATTTAATTATAGTCATGAAACCTTATCGGGAAGGATCTTATTTCAAATGAGGCTGTAAAATGTGATGTTAAATAGTAGGCAGATAAGTTCTACATTCCAAGTAAGACTGTTCGGTGTATGGGCAAATTACTTTAACACCCTACACACATACTGTTAAGTTATTTACTGGGCACGACACGGGCTCAGTTATTAAAAAGCACATGTACTTCGAAGAGATTGCGTACGCATGACTAGAGTCGATATAATTTACACTCCGCAAATGCGAGAGTTTATCGAAAGGGAGTAGTTATTTGTCAGCCGGTGTTAAATGCCCGTAAGCTTTTAATGAACATTCGGTTGACCATGTCGTACGAGAAAAGTCTTGGCGATTGAATCCTATTCATTGAGTGATTGCCTTAATGGATGTTGAATTTATTAAAGAATTTTGAGATCAGCTTTTTGAAAATTATTGAGCTACTCAAATGTAATTCAAATGTTTCGACCATAAAGTTTTCGCATGACTGTTCTCATGAATGGATATACTTTATGAGTCCGAATCGTTATTAGTCAGAGAGCTGCATATGAATAACTAGTATTGAGTGATATTGGGAACAAGCTACATGCTCCCGTGCATTAATATTGTCAATTCGAAGCAAGTGATTTGGTTCCCATAATTAAGATTAGCTTCGAACAACTACACCGTATGAAGTAACCATATACATCTGCTGTTATACAGGTAATTAAGTTTCTCTTTAACCTCAAAAAGGCTCAGGTGCAAATCTCAGCTTCACTATTACAAATACAATTAATCTTAGAATAATACAGATAATCACAACAGATTGGTAGCTGGCATGAACCCTGCAGTAGTGAAACTGAGACTTCGACGCAGACCTTTTAGAATATGATTAGACAACGAGGCACTACTACACTTTGTAGATATATAATTCCCATACCAACATTATATTTATCACTAAAAGTATAACTGTAACTGGTTCTAGTTTTGAATCAAATTAATAGAAGTTTTCTTATAATTATGTTATTTGTTTCTATCCAGAAAATTTCAGCCCAAGATGGGGATGGACAGACAAAGTCGGTCCTTCGAGATTGGGCAGCTGTGTCCTGAACTAGCCAGCTCCTCAGTAACAAGACCCTTGAATAACAAGCAAAACTCTGATTCCTACGGTTATTCCATGCTGCCGTATTCCTTCGAACGAGCTCAATCCAACCTTCTTGAAGATACACAGAATTGTGGCGACAGACGTGATCTCACTGCAATAGATTCGTCGTTGTTTGCTTCCACTCCACTTCGAACATTTGATGTAAACGTCCTTGCCACAAGGTCACGTGGGATGATCGATTCGACCACGCTGAAATGCGGCGACGACTTTACCAGCCTTGTCAGTACCATGAAACCGTGTCTCAACAACGTCTGTGATTCTATACCTAGCCCAGTGAATCGTCAGTTAAAGGTTGATGCTGACGGTACGGTAACTACTCCATTAGTAGCTAACGCATCTCGACGTCGGTGAGTAATGGAGTTTATAGATTCCACTTTAGTTGTGATTTGTGCAGGCAATAAGTGAACGGTGTGCTTGAAATTCTATCTTATCCCTAAAGCTGGACGTGGTATTTTTTATCATGTTAATTGTATTGTGTATTTGGTTTTTGTCCTATGAAGATGGAATTGGTTTGGTCAAGGTTGTCACGTGACACAACGGTAAGGTTCTATCTCTTGAAGCAGAAACGTAAACCGGTATATCACTCGGCTCACTCGCTCAAGTGGTCACGTGTGACGGATGATATCTGTGAAATGGGATTGAAACATACGGTTAGGTAGGGATAATCTTGTTGAACGTAGATGCTAGAAGTGGTGTGCCATAGTCACTGTGCTACCCCACACTTGCCTTTTAGAGCTATGTGGATATTTTTATTCTAGAAGGGATGAAAAATCTATATTGTTTGCAAGATTTTATCAGCAGTTCTCGATCATTTTGCTTTTCTTATTTTGAAGACCACGATGGAATCCCACTTCGAACGCGATCGAGGAATGTGAACAAATGATTTTGTCTGAAGCCGTGATGGATCCGATTGTTTCCAGTCTGTTGGAAATTCCTATGAATCGATTTTCCACTTCACCCGCGGGAGTACCATCCGACTTCGAAACAACAAAACCAAGGAGTTCATTTTCTGTAGCTCATTTGACTGAAATGTAAGAACTGTGAGTAAATGTATTTTTCTCACTTTGTCATACCTCAATATATGATCTACTTGCTCGAACGAAGGACCTGTTCACTCTCTAGATAATAAATTGCAAAGTTTACAAAGAAAACTCGTTATTAAAAAAGAATGGAGAAATAAGTATTTGTGAAAAGGATTCCTTAATCAGTGAGTCAGTGAGCCATCTAGCCAATCACCCCGCCAACAGGCAGCCACCGGATAAGTCAACCACTCTGTCATTCATTCAACCATTCAGTCAGTCAGTCAGTCAGTCAGTCAGTCAGTCAGTCAGTCAGTCGTCAGTCAGTGAGTCAGTCAGTCAGTCAGTCAGTCAGTCAGTCAGTCAGTCAGTCAGTCAGTCAGTCAGTTTCAGTCAGTCATTCAGACAGTCAGTCAGTCAGTCAGTCAGTGAATCAGTCAGTCAGTCAATCAGTCAGTGTCAGTCAGTCAGTCGGTCAGCTGCAGTCAGTCAGACAGTGAGTCAGTCAGTCAGTCAGTCAGAGTCAGGCAGTCAGTCAGTCAGTCAGTCAGTCAGTCAGTCAGTCAGTCAGTCAGTCAGTTAGGGGAGTCAGTCAGTCGCTGAGTCAGCTGCAGTCAGTCAGGCAGTCATTCATTCATTCATTCATATTTCGTCAGTCAGTCAGTCAGTCAGTCAGTCAGTCAGTCAGTCAGTCAGTCAGTCAGTCAGTGTCAGTCAGTCAGTCTTCAGTCAGTCATTCAGACAGTCAGTCAGTCAGTCAGTCAGTGAATCAGTCAGTCAGTCAATCAGTCAGTGTCAGTCAGTCAGTCGGTCAGCTGCAGTCAGTCAGACAGTGAGTCAGTCAGTCAGTCAGTCAGAGTCAGGCAGTCAGTCAGTCAGTCAGTCAGTCAGTCAGTCAGTCAGTCAGTCAGTCAGTTAGTCAGTCAGTCAGTCAGTCAGTCAGTCAGTCAGTCAAGGAAACAGATGGACAGATGTTATGAGCTACCCTCGAGTTACGATCCTTCGTTTCAGTAAATCTGTCGTCTAGTTACCCTGAGATCCTTGAAAATTACATGATTACGATCGTGTATTATCATAGCGACTCAATTTACTAGTTGAACGCGCATTCTATGCATCACTTCCTTTTAACTTTAAAACATTTATCTTTCAGTTGCAGTTGAATACAGAAGAACCTTACCAACATTGAGAACATCAAGGCCAAAAACCGCAGACAACAAATTTCAAGTATAGTGCCTTGCTCCAAGCGGACGATAACGGAATTCCTTAAGAATTTGCCCTTTGAGATCTCTGGATTAATCCCTACAATGGCTCAGTCGTCATTTTCCGATGCACTTACACGAACGTACATGACACATATACATGACTTAGAATTTCCGTTTTCCTCCATTGTTTTCCGTGCACGCACTTTGGCACAATTTTACCCTTGTACAGTTGATTCCCATCAGATGATCCTGTTTCTGCGAACTCTACTTATTGTTTTATGCAACATATAATTCAAACTGTGTACTATTCATCTTAAGCAAAACAATAAGTCCCATTACAATTGCTCGATTGAACTGTCCTCTCTTCCCCATTCTGTTCGTGGCATGTTAGTTGAATTCTGTAAATTTAGGTTCTTGTAACTATTAGCTGCTAACGAAGTATATCAAAAGTACCGATAACAGCGATTAAAGGCGTCAAACCGCTATAATTCAAACTGCACCATAATGATCAGCTTTGTTTTTCAAAGTTTTTTCTCAGCTTTGATCTGGTCTACTGTATTTTCCCCCAGTTATGCTAACCAAACTAAAAATCAAGTTGTCACAATGTTTTGTCAGTTTAAGTGACATCCTCATCAATGAACGATACCGAATCAATGTACAATGGAACTGAAAGTTTAATTAAAATTTAAGACGAGCATTTCTCTCTAAATAATTCACCAACATATCTCGAGGGGTAAAAAAATAATCAATATGCAGTATTTCAAGGTGTAGGAGGAATCTCACAGGAGCAGCGCATCTAAAATGGCATATTCCAGTTCTTTGCTCTCAATCTTTTGCCCAAATCCAAGTATCCACGTTGTGGAGAACGGGCCCTAAAGCTTTTGGTGGGGCTCCACATGGCATGCGAAAACTGCTAGTCCTCGGTTACTTGCTTCAGCTGCCATAAAAGAAATCTGTTTGCTTAACTGGTTCCACTAACTAGATGCCAGGCGTCCACCTCAGCTGAATGGGCAATGAACTCCTTGAGAGCCGCTGACAACCGTACATCAGCACACTGCTGTTTTGTCGTTTCATCCTGGTTGTGCATGGTGTAGTGGCCCTTTTTAGAGAAAAACCAAATGTGTCTACGGACATCTAAAGAACAAGCTGAAGTTAAGCAAACTAAAACAAGTAAGTAGGTTCAACCGTAGTTTAAATACTTCCAGACAGTATAAATTTATTGATAATTTCGGCGGAATAGGGGAGAGCTCAAGGAAAGATTTTTAGGAATATGAAATTTTGCCTTCGCAGAGATGCGTTGTTTGGATTTAACAAACGTTTGCAACAGTTGAGCTGCAAGCTAACACAACAAAGTTAATGTCAAGGAAAAATTAATGTGATGCGGTGAGAACAACTTGGACGAGGAGACTTATGGGTTCCCTGCACTGTAAAATAGTGCATGAAAAATGGGATATCGAAGTGTTGGAGGTCAAGGAAACCCGCCGACAACACACGAATCTGGACGCTTGATTGGCAAGAGCTACAAATAGTCCCGTGAGAACTGAAATGAAATGATACTAATTCCATTAGTCAGTTGGACGCCAGCTAGTGTCATACAGTCGCAAGAATAGCCCGTAAATATTCTTTTGTGACAATTCAAATGCATTATGCAAGCGCGCATCTACGGAGATGAGGTTTTGTTAATTGTATGCTTAAAAACGATTCATACATCCGGGTACCCACCAAAAGCAGTAAGCTTCGTCGAGGAGAGTTACACACTCGGTGGACATGCAGTTGATAGACTACTGGATGGAAAGACTTCTCCGTCACGTACGCATAGCATTGATTCGCAGAATGATTGCAACACTTTACAGAATGTTAGACACCGACTGATTTTTTGCAGCTTTTGAAACATTTTATTGGTTAATCATTTTTTTCCAGAGGAAGTAGCGAGAATGTCTTCCAAACAAGCCTTAACTTTGGCAACAGTACCTAGTGTTTGTAATTTTGTTTTCATCATCGCTGGTTATTTTCAATTCTTTACATTTTTCCTAACAAACTAGCAACGTGTAATACCGTTTACTCCAGTCCTTAGGTATTACAAGCACAGA